TCCAGCCGAGGTTAAGGCTAAACCCTTAATTTATCGTCAATTTTTATCTTTGAAAAAGTGGCAACAGATGACCAAAAATTAAAGTCTAATCTCTTTTATATCTTTGGAAACGGGTAAAAAATGACAAAAAGGTAAAGGCTAACCCCTTAACTTCCGCACACGGTTAATGGATACGAAATCATATAATCTGAATACAGTATACAATTTCTTCATTTCTTTAAAACTGGTTTTTAAAACTTTTTTAACCAAAGGCAAGTTGCACAGTGCACCAGGAATTTAACCCAGTAACCATCATGAAATGTTGTTATCCTCTCAATTTCTCATTGTAATGTAAACACCAATCGGAGCAATTTTCGGTTGGGCAGATATAGCATGTCATATGCAGTTCCAAAAACATGGACACTGTTTTTTGTTTGTTTGGTTTTTGCCTTTTGGTTTCGTTTTAGTAAAGATGCCAGTATATTATACAGGGTGTATCAAAAAAAACTGAACAGATTTGAAATTGCTCTCAATTTCGCAAAACAGCTATTTGTATCTGTTTTTTTATATATATAGCTTCTTTGGGTACTTATAATGTAAAATAATGAAAAAAAATTCTCGAACTCAAATTTTGTGAACCAGGGGGGTGTGTCTTTTCCAACAAACTAAAAATGGCTCGCGCACAAAATTTAAAAGCTGTAATCATATTTTGAGTTAATAGATTGAAAATTTGTCGGGTTTTTAATTACTGTGCAAAATTTCAGACAATTTGGTTTAGTTTAAGCCCTTTAACTATTCATTTTGTTCTAAAAAGTCAGCCTTTCGCATGCTTAATTAATGCCTTTACCTAATTTGCATATTGCCGACATATGCAAATTAGGCAAATGCATTAATTAAGCATGCAAATAGCTAATTTTTCGGGAAAATTGTAACTTTGCGTGAATAGTTAAGGGGCTTAAACTAAACCAAATTGTCTGAAATTTGTACAGTAATTAAAATCCCAACAAATTTTCCATCTGTTAACTCAAAATATGATTGCAGCTTTTAAAGTTTGTGCGCGAGCCATTTTTAGTTTGTTGGAAAAGACACACCCCCCTGGTTCACAAAATTTGAATTCGAGAAATTTTTCTCATTATTCTACATTATAATTAAGTACCCAAAGAGGCTATATATATAAAAAACCGGATACAAACAGCTGTTTTGCGAAATTGAGAGCAATTTTAAATCTGTTCAGTTTTTTTTTATACACCCTGTATATCCACAGAGTGGCTCTTCGCTTACCAAATTATATAAATTATAAAGTATTCATAAAGTCTATAAACTATTAATTATAGAATTCAATTCACTTTCAAACAGGATTTTTCAAGAGGTTTACTTTATTTTTAACAACGTTTCTTCAGGTTATTACAACTTTGTAAATGTTGACGTGTACAAACTAATTTAACGTTTGTTCTACGCAAGCTTAATTTCAAACTAAAATGCACGCGCACGCGCGTGTCTGTTCTCATTATTGAAATATGATTTAGATTTATTAACTTCAGCCGTCAACAGAAATATACATATGCAAACAGGAAGACGGTTCAGGAACACTAACACAGCGTGAGCCAATTACGTTAGTGACCTGTTACAAAACATCATTATACAAAACTTCACAACTTATAATTTAAATATCAAACAAGAATATAGTATAATCCTTTTTATCCGAAGTAGAGAGAGAGCGTAAAAATTTCGAAATTTGGGAACACAAAATGACAAAATTGTCAAACAGAATAAATGCGAGAATATATATAGGTTCTGTATCCGTCGATAAAATAAAACGAAAATGGCGAAAAACCCAACTCTACATCGAATAAAATGAAGTATACTACATTGAATAATTGCCAAAATAACTAGTTCAATTAAGAACAACATTTCATTTCATTTTTATTTCATTGTTGCATTTCATTGTTGTTTTCATTTCAAATATCTGTCTAAAATAGGTCTCCATACTGTCAATGACTCAAAACTGTTAAATACTTTCATACCACGATGTATTTCCCTGAGAGACTCTATTCCTTCTTTCACCTTTCTTTGTCTCAAACCACTTTCTTTTGCCACAACACTTGTATTTTCCCAATCAACTCCACTTAAACAATTCACATTGTGTCGCGCTAATCTCTATAAACTATCTTACGAACATTACTGCAATATAACTTTGAATATGTAACGTGTTCGACAGGACAAAATATTACTTACAAAATTACGAACTAACTAAGTTAGAACAAAACTGTACGAAACTATATACATTTAAATATTTCTTTCTAAGATTATCCAAGTCTTGACCATGCTTTCAAGACTAAGAAATTTTTGGTCTCATTGTAGAATACTCTGTAGTCTCTGCAGTTCCTAATTTCGTCTGGTAATTGGTAGAAAATAAAACGAACAAAGACTTCAAAACCACCTCATTTCGCAAGGTTCTTTCTGTTCCAGTATCATGAATCATTCCACATCCACATTCAACTCTTTATGGTCATCCGTTCAGAGCAAACTTCCGAAAAACATTTTTAACTTCACCATCCGATATATCAATAACACACTTCCAACACGAAAGAACCTATCAAAATGGGGACTGTCATCAACATTCGATTGCTCTTTCTGCTCCTCACCTGAAACGCTGCTCCGTGTGGTTGCTGGATGTAAGACATATTTAGACGAAGGCCGGTTTACATGGCGACACGATTCTGTTTTAAATTTCCTCGCATCCACTCTTACTGCTGTGAAAAATTCCACACTTTACGCGGACATTCCTGGCTTTATGAATCCATCTGTTATCACGGGAGATCGTTTACTACCTGACCTTCTGCTGGTGACTGAAAACAGATGTCTATACATCCTCGAGCTTACAGTCGGTTATGAATCCAATCTGCAAGTTAACGCCCTAATCGTAAGCGTCAATTTATTATGATATATAAAGTCAAGTTCGTCAATTTATCATTGAGTACACTTGGAGTTTTCAGCCGATCATCCGAAAATTTTGATGGCATGCTAAGAAGCCTTAAATGTGATGCCAAATTTTGTAAATACTTAAAAAAGAAAATCGTGAACATGTGCATACGAACATCATATTACATATTTTGTAAACGAAACAAGGTGTGGGATAACCCAAAACTAATAATTTTAATCGGCATTAAATAATTATAGTATAATAAATATATAGGCCGAGTATCAATTCAAGTAGACATTGATGAACTACCTGTAAAGTGAGGTTTATCTTTGTAGTTGTATATAGCTTAATAATCAATAAATAAAGTTTCCATTCTTATTGTTATTATTATTATTATTATTATTATTATTATTATAATATTTAATAATATTTTTATTCTGTCCCAACTGAGTGGAAAAGAGCATGTACCATACTAATCCACAAGAAAGGCAACAATAATGACCCTTCAAATTTCCGCCCCATAACACTCGAATCCATACCTTTAAAAGTATTTACATCTTGTCTCCGAAACGCAGTATATTCCTTCCTCGCATCTAATAACTTCGTCGAACACAACATACAAAAAGGCTTCACCCCCAACCTATCTGGCACTCTAGAACATACTGCGCAAATGGCTGACATTATTAATAAAGCTCGGATCAGACAACGCTCTGTTGTCATCACCC